CTACAGCCAGAACTACAAGGATCCACATTACTACCATCACCCTTTCACCTACTTACCTAAAAAGAACTAGACCTTGGCTGGGGCATATTGATCCATTCAGGAGAATGCCCTCCACTCTTTGACTTGGCTTCTCTTTCCCAAATTTTGAAAAGGTCCTGCATAAATAAACAGAATGATCCTTTCCCCAGGTTTGTTTCCTTTCATCAGAATTCACAGAAAAAGAAACACCAAGGATGACCTGACAAACTGGTGTGTGTGTGATGTTCACTGTCCTCTTCCTATTTATGCTATTGAAAAAATGTTGGTGGGATGGCCAGGTGGCTTTTCCAGTTGTGACTACATGACTCACAGCATGATGTGAGTAATTAGTAAGTGTTAGGTAAATTCTAATCAGTGATGCCAATCTGGAAATTTACAGAATTAGGCTGACAACTGTTTTCAGGTCTCCATTTCTGTGAAAGTGCCGTGGGAGTAGCCTCAAGACTGGCCATGATGGAAGTCTCCACGTTCGTGTTTTATGATCTGCTCTCACCCACGAACAATGAACGCTATACCTTGAAATGAGCCATAACTGCCAACTCTCCCGCGAGAACAGGAGGGAGGTACAATGTCTAACAGTGGTGCTTCCACAGCCAGCCATGGAAGGGACGTGGAGACTCTGTTGTGGAACAGTGGGATTTCTGATCACTAATTTCGTCTACCTGCGGTTTGCAAATTCACCTTCCTTTGAGTATTGATATTCACTTAATTCTCTGGTCCAGGAAACTAGAATTGACTTTCCAGCCACTAGGGTGTATCCTGAGCCTTGAGTCTTATTCCCCTTTGTAGTTAGTAAAGCAGAGAATGAAATAGAACGACAGAAAATATGCCTAGGGGAAAAAAAAGTGATAAAACCTCTGGCGAGTGGCAGGTAAAAATGGAAACACCCACGTTTGACCATGAATCCTTCCTGCAGCTACGGGAAAAAAGTATTATTTCCTCACTTTGTTCGTTTATATCCTCACACATTCATACATTGAACAATCACTGATAAAATGTCATGCTGGGTACATGAAGGAAAAAAATGCCTTGGCCTTTAAAGATTTATGGTCTAATGAAAGAGAGAAAAAAAACCCAACAATTACATAATAGTTGGAACAGGCTTTTGGAAAGCTTCCTGGGGGCGATGACAATTGAGCTGCTCAAGTCATAAAGCATGAATGCAGGTTTCCCAGCTGAAGAACTAAATTAAGGGGAACAGGAGAGATGAAGGGGCAGAGCGCACAGAAGCTGGCCCACCCGCCACGGAGGTGGAGGAGGAGGAGTGGAAGCAAACACCTGGGTTCCTGGCTTGAGTCCCGAGGTGTCTGGTGGTGCCACTCAGAGCGGGGACTGTGGGGGAGGGGGCAGGTTAGAGATAAAGGTGATGTTTCTGTTTGAGATTTGCTGGCTTAAGGTGTCCAAGAAACTTTACGTGGAAATGTCTGAGTCAATTTGCTGCATGGTTTTAGAGTTCAGGAAATAAGTAGGAGCTGGAGACAAATGTAGAATAATTAAAGTTATACAAGCAGCAGGTGAGATGACCAATGATTAAAGACGCACCTCCTGAGAGGCCAACACGGAGGTACGGGCAGACAGCTGGCGAGGGCGCAGTGCCGCTGGGAGGGAGAGGCTGATGCATCAGTTACTGAAAGGACACATGAGATAAACTTTGGGGTGGAGGATACTATTGTTTTTTCTGAGAAAGAAGTGAAGGAACAAAGGAGGATAAAAAGATGATTTGTAGAGGAAGGAAAGGCAAGTTTCAGTGTCAGGGATACGTGGAAGTTGAGGTTACCTAGAACAGCTGGTGGCACACCTTAGCCCAGGAGTTGGACCATGTCATGTTTCCACAAAAGGCAGGAAGCGTGGTAGCAATCAGGGTTGGCTCTGTCACTAACAAGCTGGGTGATCTTGTGCATTTGACCATCTTTTAGCAAAGAGGCGAGCCTGGGTGACCTCTCAGTTTCCTTCATCCTTTAAGATGGACTCCATTAACACAAACGGCATCCCTGCCTTCACTCTAGTTCCTCCTCAAAGGGTCCTACTGTGCCCAGGGACAGGAATCAGACCAGACGCCAGGGCAGGGGTCTCTGGCCCGAGAGAACCCCGGCTCTTGCTTCCCTGGTTAGAACAGGAAGAGCGCCCCAGCTTAGCAGGACCATCGATGCCTGTAGTGTGAACCCAGGGGGTTTGCGAGTGTGACACGGCGCTGGCGCAGGTCCCAGGCCTGTGCGTCTGCAAAGCTGCAGAGGGACTGGGTTCAAACACAGGTGAGTCAGCTCTCACTTCCCTCCAGCTTTTCAGAACCATGCCCCAAGCCTGCCCTAGAACTTTATCCTGCCCGGCGTGCCAGGTTCCAGCACAGCAGGGCCTTTTCCATCCAGAAAGTAAAAGCGACTGACCTAATTTTGGGACAGCTCAGAGCTGCTAAATCAAAAATTAAGTCTCCTAACAATTCCCTCTCGTTTCATCTATTGAAGGGATCCAGGCCCAGCTGACGGCTTTGGAAGAAAAAGTGCAAATGATTTCCTCATGGTCACATAAATCCATCCTGGATTTTCATGCCTCTGTTCACACCATCATTTCCCCCACTCCTCCCCTGAGTTAGAATTGAAGGCCAGTCCCCCAGGGAGCCTCACCAGGTGGCTTGTTCACCGTTGTATCCCAGTGGCTAGGACCAAGTACCTTGTGAAAGGATGACATCAAAAAGGGTCTGTTAGGGGCGGGGGAGAGTATAGCTCAAATGGTAGAGCGCATGCTTGATGTGCTCAGGGTGCTGGGTTCAGTCTCCAGTGCCTTCTCTTAAAATGAAGAAATAAGTAAACCTAATTACCTCCCCGCTCAAAAAAAGGGGGGGTCTGTTGAGACTATTACTTCAGTAATTAATAGCATCAGCCATTAACCCATCTTGGTCTTTCTCTTGTCTTCTTTAACTTTTCATAAGTTGAAAGCATATCTCTCAAATCCTGTGTTGATAACACGACTTTGTGCGTCCCTTTACCAACAATGAGCATAGTATTCTGTACATAACAGCTGCTCCGTGGTACTTGTTGTTTGACAGAGAATCTAGAATTTTACCAAAGGGCTTCCCTTCCTTCAACGCCCTCCAGACTCATCCTTACTTGGCACCAGTTTATCCTCTGATGTTAAACTCTTTCCTCTAGTAAAACTTCTCATCATCAGAAAAACCCAGAGCAGTCAAGAGAAAACAGCAAGATTCAGGGAGGGCAATTAAGTGGAATTAAGATTCCCTAGGCTAACATTCTGTTGGGCTGAAGAAAACCCGCTGAGAATCATTCTCCCAAACTGAAAAAGTCCTGAAGCCAAATAACTGCTTCGGGCAGTAAACTGAATCACAAGACGCTGTTCCCTGGGAGGTGACCTTGACAAAGGACATAAAATGCAAAAGCTACCGTGAAATTCATCTAACGAAGCTATATTTTTCAAGATTTCCAGGGAATTACCAAAAAAACCAAAATGAGAGCATACAGTTTTAAAGGCTTGATACCAGGAATACAAACATTACACCAAGCAAAATGTTGCCTCGAAGGGTGTATTATAGGATAGTTTTGATTGACAGCACTTAGCGCCCTGAATTTTAAGTGTGGCCTTTGTTAGACATTTCAGAATTAACCTGAATACCTGTCTTCATCAGTTTGGGCTGCTCTAACAGAATACCATGGACTGGATGTTCTGTAAACAACAAATATTTACTTTGCTCAGTTCTGGCAGTGGGAAGTCTGGAATCAGGATGCTAGTGAAGCTGTAGTCAGGGTTGCAGACTGCCATCTTCTCCCCGTATCCTCACGTGGCAGAAAGAGGGCAAGACAGCCTGTAGGGTCCCTTTTATAGGGGCACCTCATCCCATTCATGAGGGCTCCACCTTCACGACCTAGTCACTTCCCAAAGGCCCCACCTCCTAACACCATCGCATTGGGGGTTAGGATTTCAACATGAATTTTGAGGGGACACAAACATTCAGTCCACTGCCATAAGGGTCCAGTTTTTCTGACTTCTGAACTGAACAGGTCTGTCAAGAGTTCAGTTACCTAATAGGATGTGGCTATTCACATGGTTATTAACAATAAAATTACAACTAGTTTTAAATTTTATTTCAGCAATTGACTCTTGGGCTCCAGCCATATACAATGTCTATGTGCCATGCGTGTGACATACATTATTTTGTTTAATCATTGTAACAACCCAAAGAAGATAAGAATTATTACTCCCAGGCTCAGGAGATGGATTTATCAAGCACCCTGATGATCCAGGATCAGGAGAAATCCAGGCTCAGGAGATGGATTTATCAAGCACCCTAATGATCACTTAACTTCCTATATAGCTTTGCTTTGGGGGAGAGAATGCTCTGGGCAGTGAATACAGGTTTCCCATCTATTCTGTATTTTTCACTGAATTTGTATGAAGTGATATTCTGAATTTTGATATATCAGATGCCTATGAGTTTGTTTTCAAGCCTACAAAGCAGGAAATGGTGACCACATCAAAGGCCCCTGCTCCAACCCCCATCTCAACCCTTCTTCAAAGGCCTGTGAGAACTGCACAGATCCACTTGAACCCTGAACTGTGCTCAAGAGCATCAAGAACATAAAATAGTGGTCTCTGAGGGCTGCTGTCCTGCAGTAATTACTCCCATTTCCTTTCCTGGATGATACAGGATAATGAAATTCTGATGATCAGCCTGGTATTAAGCCGAACAAGGAAGGGCATCTTTCCAAACCAGTGTGGGGCTCTTTCGCGTGTCCAGATACACTACTCATTACCTCTTTCCCTTAACTACTGACCCTGGTACCCCTTTCTCAGTCCACCATCTTCCCCTAAGTCCTGTTCCTTTCTGACCAGGTCAGACCTCCATCCTCTCCCTCAACACATCCCAGTGCATCTCCCTCCTCAATATCTCCTGGATGCCTCCACCATGTCCCCTGCACACGTCCCTCCAACTGGCCACCTTCATCTCCTACCTGTGCTGCTGGCCCCTGGCCTCTGGGCCTGCCGGAGTTGTGATCAGAAGGGCTTTCAAACCAGAAAGCTGCCCACTCCCTCCTCCGTATTTCCCTACTGCCTTCAAAACAAAATCCACATGCCCCAGCTTGGCACCCAAGGCCTTTGGTCATGTGGGTACCGGCTTAGCCCACCGTCCTCCGCGCTGGGCCCGGCCACTGGGATTGGCTCAGCTTGTGGGCGAGCAGCTGGTCTGCGTGCCTCCCCAGTCACCTGCTCCATGCTCTTCCTGCCCAGCCCCCTCCAGGCCTCTCTTCTGCTAACTCCCTGCCATACATTATTGGTCCAAATTGCACCCATCCTTCCCTCTAGGTATCAGGTGCTTTGCCAGGTGCCTTAGCAGCTGCTCCCATCAAGAGATGGAGTCCATTTCCACACCTGCCAAGTCTGGACGGGCCTGTGGCTTACTCTGCCTGTTAGAAAGTTCTGGAAGTGTGCTGTGCAGGTTCTGAGCCTGGCCCTCAAGAGGCCTCCAGCTTTTGTTCACCTTTTGCATCCTTACCCAACCAAAGAGTGAACTTGAGCTTCATTTTTGAACGTAAATGAAACAACGTAGGCGGAGGCCTTGGGGTGATTTCCTAGGCAGCCTCTGAGGGCTGGATGGAATCTACTCCAAGTTCCAGGGCATGAACCCCCCACAAGGGTGAACCCTGATCAGCTGTGGAGAAGAAACAGGAAGGAGCCGGACAGACTCATTCTCTTCTCTCTCTCTCTTTCTCTAGTTGGAGGTATAGTTCCTCTTTGCAGCCCTCCCTCTGAGCGGATGTGTCATTGCACAACCTGCTGTCTTTCTTCACAGCTCACTGGAAAGCACAGGCTGGGCAGTAACATATCTCAGAGCGAGTCTCGGCCTCTTTCCTTGCTTCGCTTCCCTCACTGCCCTGGGGCTTGCTCTGCTAGAAACCTCAGGTTCTGTTTTTTGCTAAGGCAGTGGCCAGTGTGCACATGCCACACCTAGGAAGCTCATTTCTCATTCAGATGCTCTGATATCCACTCCCTAGAAGCCAAGAATTCCCAGAAAGCACATGTGTGCATTTTCTATCACCGCTGTAACAAGTTGTCTCAAATTCCATGGTGTAAAACTCTCTCACAGTTCTGGAGGTCAGAAGTGTGAAATCAGTTTCATGGGGCTGAAATCAAGGTATTAGCAGGGCTGGTTCCTTCTGGAGGCTGTGGGAGGGGAATCTGTTTCATTGCCTTCCTCAGCTCTTAGTGGTGGCCTCTATTTCTTGGCTTGTGGCCCCTTCCTCCATCTTCGAAGCACATCATTCCAATCTCTGCCTCCACGGTCACATTGCCTTCTCCTTTTCTGTGGTCTAATCGTCCTCTGCCTCCTTCTTACAAGGACCCTTGTGGTTACATTTAGGTTCCATCCAGATAATCCAGAATGGTGGCCCATCTCCAGATCCTTAACTTAATCACACCTACAAAGTCTCTTTTGTCATATAAGTTAAAGTCACAATTCTGGGAATTAGGACCTGGATATCTATGGGCCATTATTCAGCTGACCACAGCATACATGGGCCTTTTGCATCCAGTGGTTATTCACCTCCAAGTGTGACAAACCAGTTACCTCTCAGAGAGTTTTCAGCAGTAAGTTTCTACCAGAGTATCAGGCCCCTGTTTCCTTTTTAAATGAAAAGTCAAGTTGATAACAATTCATCATGAATTTGGACAGATGTTCTACCCCATCCTCTCACTGTTTAAATAAATGAGGCCTTTGAGGGGTCAGTTGTCTTTGGCTGTCACAACATGAAATAGACATCTGGCAATTAACTAAATAATCTGACCAATGTGGACGTCACATGCCCTGACTTTATCTAGGTAGGACGCTTATTTTATCCAACGTCTACTTCCTTTTGTGCTGGCTAGGCCCGTCTGGTTCTGAAGCAGTAACTTCCCATGGTTTTTAATTAGAAATTGGAGTTTAATGCACACAGCGATGTCATATGTAATCTCCTTTATGACCTGTTTGGATGACGTACAGGAAATTCACTAGGCACCAAGAAAAGGAGTAGAATGCAGATGAGACTACCCAACTGTCCACCTCTCATTTTCTTAGTGCTTCATCCTCGCAAAGTCTTACTCTTATTTAAACCAATTTAAATATGTAGAATGGGACAAAACTTGTGCTGACAGCCTAGTTTTGAGGCATCCACTTGGTTGTACTTTCAAAAAATATATTCTTTCAGACAGATGATGTGTGCTCTTCCATTCTGTTGACATATATTCACTTTATTGATATGCCAGGTACTGCACGAGGCACAGTGCGTACAGCAATGAGCAAATCAGAATCCTTACCCGTGCAGCAGACGGCCAAGGACGTTTCTGCCTACCTGCATGTCACCGTTCTGGATGCTGTCTGTTTGCTTCTGAAGGCCCAAGCTCCCGTCCGGCACCATCTCCTTTCAGCCTGAGAACTGCCATTAGCATTTCTTGCACTATAGGTCTGCTGGTGAGAGATACTCTTCGTTTCCTTTTATCTGAAAATGCCTTCATTTCATCTTCATTCTGGAACATTCATTTCTCTGGATACAGAATTCTGGGTCGACAGAGGTTTTTTTTCCTTTTTTTTTTTTTCTTTCGGCACTTTGAAGATGTTGTTCCACTGTTTCCTGGCCTCCGTTGTTTCTAATGAGAAGTCAGAACTTTTGAATTATTACTCTGCAGTGTGTTAAGTGACACCTGGCCCTGGCTGCTTTCAAAATGTTGATTTTTGGGAGGTTTTTTTTTTTTTGCAGTTTGACTATGATGTGCCTAGGCATGGTTTACTTGGTATTTATTCTGCTGTTTCACAGATCTTCTTGTATCTGTAAATGTCTTTCATCAAATTTGGGAAAGTGTCAACCATAAATTCTCCAAACATTTTTCCTGTCCCATTTCCCCTCCTCTCCTTCTGGGATTCCCACTGCCATAGGTTAGCTGTTTGTTCTCGGGAGAAAAGCCCTAGAAACAGGAAATGTACTCGGTGCCAGTCCCGTCTTCTGTGTGTTGCTTCCCCTCCAGAATCTTCTTGCTTTTGTGCATGCTCAGTGCTATCAGGTAGTTTTTCTACCTCCCAGGATTTATGGCTATCACCTCTGGGAGAGTCAGTCTGATAGAGGTTACCTGGCTATTACCTGAACTCTGTTCAGGGTGCTTGGAGGCCTTTTGACAACGCAGGTTCACTTCCCCTCACTCTCTGCCCGTCTCCCAGGAAGTTCTCCCAGGTGGTATGAAAACAGGACTCCTCTACCTGAAGAGTCCCAATCCCAGCAGTGGTCATGCAGAAAAGGATTCCTTCCGTCATTCTCATGTAAACATGATGTAATAATTAATGAAACAGTTTGTAAAATAGCCCTGTTCTGTATTCACCCATTCTAAAGTCAAAAGGATTAAGATTCCAGAAGAATAAAAAAACGGACTTGAGAGGCCTGGGTTGGCCCAATTCTTCCAGGAATCAGCTGTGTGACCTTGGACAACACACAGAAGGAGACCATGGTACCCACACACCCCACCTGCCTCCAAGGGTGATTGTGAAGACTGAATGAGGGAATCCATGGGAACATCGGTGCAGACTGTGCCTGACATTATTATTCGGCTGTGGCTCCCTGAAGCTCAAAACTGAATTCGAGTCCCCAGGCTTGGCATGTTGTAGGGCTTGTGTAAATGTGTGGTTGAATGAGTGAGTTCTTTCCCAGGCTGTGTGTAGGGAGCTATGGGAGGGAAATGACCTCTCAACCAAGTCCCAGAGGGAAGTGTCTGCTTTTCTTTCCTTTAGAAACCCAAAGCTGAAGGCATTTACCTGTAAATCCAGAGTGAAATACAATCCTAATTAGCGAATGACACTGGATATACTTCTCAGGACGCCCACTTCCCCCCCATCCCCGGGGGAAGCCTTCAAGGAGAAGCGTAAGCCCAGAGAAAACCTGGAAGCCAGGTGGGGTCACTTAATGAACAGAGAGGAGAAAAGGGCTCAGCACAGACTAGTGATGGACAGTTACACAAAAAGAAGTGGGTTTAATTCCAAGAGGAACAGGGGCCTGAGAACGCACTACAAGAGTCGCCTTGAGAGTGCAGCCCTGAGCTCAGAGAGACTTGGAGAGGAGTGGGGCCCAGCAACACCTGGGGAGGGCAGGACCAGGGTTAACTGGAAGGTAAGCCGCATGTACACATACAGGAATGGATGCAGGAAAACGAGAGGCCTGGTTTGGAAGGAGACAGAGATGGAATCCGCCATTCCACCTGCCCTGGCTCAGGGCCTCGGGTGTGAAGTGAGTTAAATAACACTCACCCCTTAAAGTCATGCAACTATTTTCCAAGAGCCTCCCCCTTGCCCCTCCCCCAAAGCCCTCCCTGCCGCACTGACATTTTTTCCAAGGGAGGGGAAATAGCTACCTTCAGGATAAGTCCTGGGGCAGGAGCTGGACCGGCAGGCTGGACAAGCCTGGGACCGCCCTCCCTGCCTTCTCCAGGTGCATCTCCCCTCCTGCTGTTTTCGGCCTTTGTTCCTGCTCATCAGCCTCCTCCCACTTCTTTGAAAACACCAAACCCACTGGTGGGCTCCTGATGACTTGCTTAGTTCACTGCCTGGAAAGCTCTATTCCCAGGTTAAGACCTCTTTCTCCATGTCCAGGCCTCTGCTCAGATGTCACCTCCTTGGAGAGGACTTTCTGGATCCACAAGCCTTTGGTTCTGTAATCAAACCCAAGTCCCTGTGCCTGACACATAGTGAGGCCAGACAAACCGAAACATCGGAGTTGGGAGCAGAGAAAGGTTTAGTGCAGGGCCGAGCAAGGAGAAGGGCGCCTTGAGCTCAAGAAGCCTACACTCCTCAGTGGGTTTCAGGGGAAAGTTTGTAAGGCAAAATTGGGGTGAGGGCTGCAGGATGTCTGACTTTCTTCTGATCGGTTGGTGGTGAGGCAACTGGGTGGTGTTCTAGGAATTAAAATTAACCTTCTGGTTCTGACCAGGTTGGGGGTCTCCACTTAGAGTTACCATCTCCATCTCGAGAGTGGGGGCTTTAGAACAACTCAAAGATAAGTATCAAATTGTTATGTACATCCCTTGAGGAGGAACTAGGGTTGGTTTCATTGCTGAACTATTGTTTCTTGACTGCT